GGGGGGGGGGGGGGGGGGTGTACTCATAGTCGTGCATGCCGTAGTCGTTTGACCATTGACCTCGCATCCCTACAAAGCCGGGACGGAGCACGCCGGGTTCTCACCGGACCAGGCTCTCACATCACCAAGCGCGAAGCGCCGTGAGGTATTTGGCGAGTCGCATGAAGGGTGAGCTGCATCCTGCTAAGGGTGTTCGGCATCTTGTGCTTACTTCCTTGCGTACGGATGACAGCTACGTATGACTTAATTTATTTTCTGGTGCTTTCACTTCCAGAGACAGTTGTAAGCACTGTGTAACTGCCTCGAGGAAGCTTGACCATTTTAACACAACGTGGTGCGATCATCCCCCGTTGCGCGGAGTGAGGTTTCTCGACCCCGCACAACATGATCTACTCGACCACCATTATGGTTACCGCCACAAAAAAAAAAACGAGGTAAAAAAAAAAACCGGTAACCTGGTTGCCGAGTTCACGAAGTGAATTGGCTTGTTTTACAACGTCGTTGCCAAGCGACGAAAACCCAATCCCGATGGCGAACACCGAGTGGGGGGGGGAGGGGGGGGGGGGTGACGCGTTGGAGTTGTAGAAGTATGACCCCCGAGAGAAGAATTTCGATTTGGAGCTTTACTAAAATACCATAGAGATCTAGCGATCCTGGTTCAAAGCAAGGTTTTGTAGCGGGGTAGGGAACACGAGTAGCAGTGTGTGCTGTGCTTTACCGCTTGTTGAAGCGAGAACGGGGGGAGAGGGTGCAGCACTACAAACAAGAGGAGCAGCGGCAACATTAACAGCAACGACCACAACAACACAGGGGGAGCAAACGACCGCTTACAAAAAATTACGCCACCACCTTTTCCCACATCAAGCTGAAACAACACGCGAAACAACACGCGACGCGAAACGATTCGCGTGACTTAAAAACGAAGGTTGAAACACCGGTCGAAAGGGCGGTTATAGCCGGTCGTAGGTTGCTTCGGTATGAACACTCTGTGTGTGAGTGGGTGCTAGGGCTGGAAAGAACGGTAGATATCCAGACACCATTCACACATAAACACATAAATTTGCCTTAGTGTGACGATATCTCGCAGCCATACATACATACGAAAACCTTCAACGAACGGTCGTTGTCGGAACGTCTCTTCTACGAAAAGTGGAAATTTCTACCGACGGCGTATCGTGCACTCGTCCTTGCAGTTTCCTGTATCTCCGTTGAAAGGACGTTGGCGAAAGCCGGGTGAAGAGAGCATCCCGATATGGTGGGGATGCGAGGAAATGCTGTCTACGACGAAGTATCTATTGCAACTGTCGCCCCCCTTGCCCCTCTCGGGAGTGTAGACGGCTGGTCTTGCTGTCGAAACCCCTATGGCGAACCTCCTGGCTTCATTGTCCATGTGTACATACCCTGACTCCTGCGTTTTTCTCGCGCTATTCTAAGAGATAGATATACAAGCAAATAAAGCAATATGTGAAAGTGACCGTCCGGGTAAAGCATCGCATCACATCCCGGTAGTTCATCGAAACATGTAACATACGAAGGCATGTCCCTTCCTTCGACCAAAAAACAACTAGGTGTTTTCATTTTTAACTCATTTAGAGCGAATCCCAACGCTGTCAAGGGCTGCTGAGTGTTTCGAACTTCGTGCAACGAGTGGTCATCGAGACCTAGGCGTAGCAAAACAGTGCAGGAGATACTTAACGGAAGAGTTGAATAACTCGTGCAGATCCCACGATTTCGAGGGATTGTTGTCTCTCGCAAATCATTCCTTTGACTAGAACTGGGCCCCGGGTGCATGCTCGATTCGTTCGAACCCATTAGTTTTTTAGCTTTGTAGAGATCTGTCGACCCCGGAATCCCCCGGACCGATTTTCTTTGGGCATGGACTGAAAGACGCCCGATGCCCTTTTCTCCATGTGTTAAATCGGCGACAACCAAATCGGGTTCGATTGCCACCACCTCCTCGGCGTGATCGATCCACTGACAACCCAGAGGGAAAAGAAACTAGGAAACATCTTTGAAGCCGTGATCAAAAATATTTACTTGCATAACACACCAAGCACAGCTTAGTTAACATCGCCCACCCCCGGCATACGCACCCCGAACCGTAGTATCTACTGCTGACTACTTGCTGTGGAACGTTTTCTTTGTTTTCCTCACAAAGTTCAAAGTCCAAATCTAGCCCGTGGGCGTGGATCGACAAACAGGGCGAAGAGGTCACGGTAAAACCTCCTGGTTTCTGCAGAAGATCCCGATAGCAGTCCATGGTTCGAAACATTCGTGTCATGCTGTCCACAGAGGGCAGTATACAACTTCTTTCGTGTACCGTGTTGTCAGAAGTCAAATGGATAGCCCCAAAACGTTGTTTTGGTGGGATGGCACTCGAAAGAAGCAATCGCGATGCAAACGTGGGTGGGGCGATGTGTGGCACAGTCACTACGTATGAGCAATATTCACGAGACACAACCAATGGGCCGTGCGTTCGCACCCCACTGTACTTTAGCCCCAGCCTACGCACACCCAATGGACTCGGAAAACAATTAGTACCATTCCCTGCGTGTTTTGCTTCACAACGTGGCCCCTCCCACCCGCCGTCGCCGCCGAATACCTCACGGCGCTTCGCGCTTGGTGATGTGACAGCCTGGTCCGGTGAAAACCCGGTGTGCTCCGTTCCGGCTTTGTAGGGGTGCGAAGTCGATGGTCTAACGACTACAGCATACGCGGCTATGAGCACTCCCCACCCCGCCCACCGCTCACATTTTTAACATATCTCCCCTTGACACGCTGCTACACGTATGTTCAATCAAACCCAACAGAACTTCGACGAATGGGAAGGGCACACCGGGGGCCGCGGCAACCGACGTGCGGCGTCCGAGCCTCGAGCAGGGTTTGCCTCCGTGGGCCCCGAAGTTGGCGACAACAGCACTAGCGTCTTCTTCTTCGTCCCGCGGCCGTCGAACAAGCTTCTCCGGCGGGACCCCCGCCTGGGCACCGCAGCACCAGCAGGGAGGGGGCTCGCCGTCGGCTGAGCAGCTCAAAGCGAGGGCCGACGAGAGCCCTGAAGGAAGGAGGCCCGGGCTTGCGGGGGGGATGCCCTCCTGGGCCCCTGCAGACAAGAAAGTCGCCGCTGGGTCCGACGGCTCGAGCCGACGAAGACGGCGGTCGAGTCTCGACGGGGGCATGCCGGCATGGGCGCCGGCAGCTCCAGGAGGCTCGCCGACGTCGCGATCGAGGGGCCAGGAAGAGGACGAGCTACCCGTCCCTGAGTCTGAGCAGGCTACGCCGGCACTGCCGGATTGGCTGACGGCCGCCGCGGGAGGGGGGTCTGCACCGAAGGTGAGAGGAAGACAAGATCGGTGTCGGACGAGGACTTATTTTGTTTTGGTATTTTCAACGTCAGTGGCCCACTTACGCCAAGGGAATAACAACGCGATTGCATGGGCTTGTCCCGCGGGTCCAACGACCCTCTCCAGTGTCTTCTACAGGCGTTGCATGCTCCTCTATCGTCTAACACCGGCCAAATGGTTGTCATGGTAGATTCGTACGTATGGGATTTCGCGTGATTTTCAAGAAACTTCTACACGGTTGGTCCCAAATCTCAAAAACACCTGCGCTCTCTCGCCCTACCCTTGTTTTGCCAACATTAAAGGATACGCGGGGCGATGGAGAGAGCACCATCGACACTGATGATGACGGCGGCGGCCTAGGTTGGCTCACCCAAGCCGCATCGGGGGGCACAACCTCGAAGAGCCAAGATCGAAAGGGTTCGCAGGAAGCTGCTGACACGGCATTGGACGACGAGGCTAGAACGGAGCGGACAGCGGCCGGAAGCACAGACGCTGCTTGCAACGACGTTTCCTCCGAGCACAGCGGTGGCGGCGAAGGGCTAGGCTGGCTGTCGGCGGCGGTGGTACGGAGGCCACAGATGAAAAGCCGTACACACGAGCTACAACCTACGGCAACAAGTACGAACGTAGTAGCATCGAAAAGTCGGGCTCAACAACGGAATTCGGCGTCCTCTGGACCATCATCATCAAGCAAGACAACTTCCAGCACTGCTCCGGGGGGCTGGTTGGCTTTGTCCGTCGCCTCCGGAAATCTCGGTGGCCTCAGCGACGACGGCGAAAGCCATCTCGTCGGCGACGGTACCAATAACGGCGGAGATACCGGCAAGGAGGATACAGCGACACAAACGGATGATGTCGTGATAGTCGAGGCCAAAAAATCAGTTTCAGAACAGACTACGTCGAAGAATCCCACCAAGCCGAAGCTTCCGCCGTGGGCCAAGCCCTGGCCTAAACCTGTGGCCGCTCCTGCCGTCGCTGACCCTGATTCATCATCACCATCATCTGTAGACAACCGTCAAGCACCGAACGTGGGTGAGGATAAGGCCATCAACGCCGGTGGCGCGTCTTCGGGAGGGGGCGGCGGATTGGACTGGATCAGCGCTGCTGTTGATAACGGTACATCAAACTTGTCGCACGGTGAGAAGGACAAGAGCGCACCAACTATCCGTGAAAGTATAAGACAGGTTGTCGAGGTTCGTCGGGTAACGGTGACGACGTCTGTCGTCTTGAACCTCTCTAACCTTGTAGTGAGTCTGCCGTAGTGTCATTTTGCAGCACTATTGTGTGAAACTCCAAGACGCCAGCAGTGGACGTGAACTACGCCCATGAAAAAGTACAAAATCCTACGTTGCAGGGGTTAGGACGGCTTGATTATTTTTGCTGGCTGGTCGTCGAGTGAATTGCACGGAGTGTTCGAAACCCTAACGCCAGCCTTTCCGGCTACGTGTTGGTCATCGAGCTCCCTCTTGTATAGCTTCCACCCGTTGATTGGTTGTTGTGTGCTCTGCTCGCAGGTCTAAGTGCATCTACCACCGACACTGGCGGTGTTCCGGCTCGTGCTACAAGTGACTCTAGCGACCAAGAAAAGGGAGAAGAGGGAGGAAGCCTAAGCTGGCTGGCAAAAGCTGCCGCCGGTTCATCAGACCGACCCGCCGATACCGCCGGAAAATCCACAACCAGCACCGTCGCCACTCCGGGAACAGCGACAACCGACGATGATTGGTTAGCGACTGCAGCTTCTGGGGCCGCCCGCCCCTACCCTTCACCATCCCGACGTCCCTCCGCCGAAACTAAGGCTGCGGGAAGAAGGTGCAGTGGGGGAGGGTGGATGACAACGGCGGCAGGAACAGTAGGCCTGCAGCTCCTAGATGGTAACGGCGACGGAAGCGTAAGCGATGGCGTTAACAGTGCGCTGCACAAGAAGAAAGGCCCGGAACAAGGCAACGCTTCTGCGGCGCAAAGCGGGGGGGCTGGCGGATGGATGGCAAAGGCGGTTTTGTCGGGGTATCTTGCCGACACAGCTCTGAGCGAAGAAAACGCCGCCGATGATGTTGCATCCCGAGCAGAACCAGTCAGGCAGGGAAAAACAATCGCAACCCAGACAGATGAGGTTGTAGGGCAAGCGGCTGCAGAGCCCGCGAAGCCTAAGCTCCCGCCCTGGGCGAAGCCGTGGAGTGCGCCCGCTCCGGCAACGGTTTCCGATCCGGTCTCGACTCCGGCGACGGGGGTTGATTCTGTGGTGGGGGAGGGTACCGGTTTGAACAGACGGGGTTCCTACGAGTCCTCCACCTCCGACACCAAAGGTAAAGCAGCGTTGTTTCAGGTTCGTAATGATTCCGTACCATTATTGCCTCGACAATGAGACAACAGATGGCGCAACTGCAAACATTTTCACTTCTCTCGCTAATGTTCGCTCTCGATACACCCGCAGATGGCCGGACGACCGCTGGAGGTGGTGGCGGTGGGATTGATTGGGTCACGCAAGTCACTTCCGAAGAGCCGGAGATTATAGCCCAGACCGACCACGACTCTACGGCAGTCAACGGCTCAGACGATCTCCTCGCAGCCGCGCTTTCTGGCAATTCAAAGCTGGTGACTGAAGCAGCAACAGCAACAACCGCGAGCGGACGGGATCGGGGGGTATCGAAACACAACGTGCGTAGCAACAACAACAGCTGTTGCACCTGCGGTAGCGCCATAAAACACTCTGTCAAGACGACGCCGGCCAACACCGCAGGCCACTCAGGGCGGCCGGGGGCGTGGTTGATCGCTGCCGTGGCGCCCAGTGGCCCCGCTTCTCCGATCGAGAACGACACCGAACAGGATACATTCGGCAACAACAGCGATATTCAAGGTAGCGGGGCAGGGCGTGTTGGTGTAGAAACCACAACGATAGGGGTACAGTGGGAAGAAGAGGCAGGGAAAACCGTACATCCGGCGTCGTCTACGAAAAGCCGGTTACCGCCGTGGGCGAAACCTTACGTCCGCCCTTCTACGGAGGTTATTGGGCGTGATGATGGGTCGGAGGATAACGATAGTGTGAGGGTCGTGATGGAGTCGAACGGTATTCAGTGCGGGGAGTCGATGCTGGGGGGTCGGTTGAGCGAAGAGCCCATTTGAAAACGGCAACATAGTTGACGGTGATGCTCTGAGGGAGTCCTCCTACTGCTGGGAGGGGGCAACTACTCCTGATCGCGCATGAATACTGTCTTTGGGCTACAGTAGTCTATCTACTACCCGGGGGGGGGGGGAGGGTACAATCATGTCGCTGCCATCTAGATTAAAAGTTCCCGCTTTGTTGTGCTACTATTGTGAACACATGTGTGTCTCTTTTTGACTGAAGTGGTTTCTTGTCTTGGAAGCGCCGTGAACGTGAAGTGATTTATGTATGCGAAAGTCTTTGGAGGACATTCATTACATATTCGACAGTAGTACCGCTGAACGTAGTACCAAGTACATGTTGATGTTTGTGCGCAGGACTACTGTAGCTGTTGAACGGGGCATGCATGTTCTGTGCTCATGGATCGAATTTTTCTATAACTTCGTTCCCTCGCCCTCTATCTTACGGACATCGACGAGAGTTCAGGGACAATTTCGTCACTCCCTTGCCGTTTTTAGCGGGGGGGGGCGGCGGGGCAAACAGATCGGCGCGGCACACAGAAACAGATTTGAGAGTGCTTGCTTTGTAGCACTAAAACAAACACGTTTTACTTTGCAGAGGGCATTCTGGCACCCCTTCGAAGCCGGGGATGAGCAATCTATTTGCTCCGGGAGACCTGCTGTATCAACACTTACATGTTGTCCGCAGGATGGGCAGATACCGACATACGGTGTTCGAACGTCCCCCGACCAACTTCAGTTATTTTCCTCCTGTGGCAGAAGGCACCTACAATGTACCTTCGACAGGCGGTTATTCTACCAGCGAGCACTCAATCAAGTGTCCCTTCCTCTCTGCGAGCACTTAGCCAACGTCTCTCGGCCGATAGAAAACGCTCGTGTTTTCGGCTCGAGCTTCGTACTTTGGGTTTGACGACACTCCTCTACTTGCGCGTTGCTTCAAACTGCTGCAGCGCCAACCGCTCTAACCGGCCGCTGAACAAAAGAAGCAGCCTCTTTTGTGACGAATGGAGATCTATCTCTCAGCGGACGTGCTTATGCTTTGTGGACATTCTGCAAAACACATCGATCCGGCCAGAAGGTTTGGCTCCTTCGCGTAAGCCGAAAGGGCCCAAACACGGAGAACTATGCATAGCACGGAGCACGGAGCAAGAACTGTCAGGCATGGACGTTCGCGTGGTTTTGGTTTCGACGTCGGTCCTCGTCCCATAGATGTACGTGCGTGCGTGATTGTGTTCATGGCTGATTGGTAGAGGCGTTTAACCCACAACGGGCACGTTTTTCATGTCAGAACAACCTCGTTCAGTTGCCGGTTCCGCTCCCGCACCCCATACATATCGAACAGGCAAGCTGAGAGCAAACAATCCACATCAAGAACTCATTACGAGCTTCGCATTTTTCCTCCGCAAGTCGCCAAATCCGAAGAGTCGAACGAAAATCCGAAAAATCTGCACCTACTGCGTCACATGGCGCAAGAAAGGCGCAGGTGGAGTTTTCGACACGTGGCAACCAACACACCGCACACGACACCAGGTTTCGAACCAACAGCCTCACAGGCACACGTTTTCCTACATATTCAAGAGAAAGCCTCTCGAAGGCAGTGGTGTGCGAAACTAACAGAGTGGATGCCACTCTACGAACTGCCGTATCATGGCACACCCCAAGGATGCCGAAACCGACAAGATGACGGCACATGTCATGAATTTCACTGCCCGGCGTGCAGTACACACCCGAGGACAAAAGGAACGAAGGCACTGAGCACAACATTTTCCAGCTGTTGAAACCGCTACAAACAACGACAACAATAAAATAACCCTGCTGTTCAAAGGAAAAAGGTTCTTACTTACATGACCGATTGAGAGCTTCGCAGGGTGTCCTTGCCCATCATGGCATCCATCATGGCACCGTACCGCTTCCTACGAAATCATCACTCACTCACTACCCCCAGCAATTACACAACACCAAAGTCGCCGCTAAAACACCGCACAGCAACCTTACAGAGGTAAAACTCGCGATATTGTCAACCCATCACCTCAAAAAGCGTTTCGTCGCCTCCAGGACTTCAACACCTATCGGACACAATGTATCAGCAGTGGTTTCATCTGCCCACATCGTTTTTCTTGTAGTCCGGTAAGTAGGGCCCCACCATCGAGAACGCCGTCGCGAGGAAGTTGTAGCTCAGCATCTTCGTGCCCACGCGTACCCCCACCGCCATTCCCCCGATGTCCCGCCACACGACCCTCCCGATGCTCTTGAGGATCTCCCTCGGCAAGACGTTCGGGGGCACCGCCGACTCCTTGGCCTTGTCCATGAGCTCTATAGTGTGGTCGAGGTTGCTGTAGAACTGGCTGGCCACGGGGGAAGGGTGGACGGACAGCACGTCGATGCCCTTGCAGCGGACCTCCACCGAGAGGGACGCGGCGAGGTTGGACAAGAACGCCTTCGTTGCACCGTACCTGCGGCGATATGAGTTATTGCAATGCGGATGTGGCGGGGAGACGGGTAAGGGGAACGTGGGCAGGCAGTCGTGCACCCGCTACATCGGTTTGGGCGCTATTGTGACGATTTGCAAACGTCGCCCGTGCAACAAACAGCAGTATCTGGGAAAGCCAGACAGCGCCAGGTGAAAAGCAAGCGGACAAAACGCCGCAAGGGTTGACTGCCGCGGCCTACCTCTATCTTTCTAGACAAAGCACTGCCGAGACGATAAATGGCACGCGCTCTGCGAGCGTACCTAGGTGTAGAACATCGGGTGGCCAGATCACTCTCCCGTCTTGGCCCAGGGCGAATTCGAACAAGAAACGTACGAGTGGGCAACAAACGTGTACTGACACCAAGCAACCACAACATGTGTTGTGTGCACCCAACCGAACGTACTCAGCACATGCATTGGTGGTTGGATTGGCCACGCCGCCGGTGAACAGCAGCGGGTGGCCCACGGCAACAAGAGCTCCTGTCCCACAACGGGACTCGCAACAAGACCACCGATAGTGCTAAAGGGAGACGCGAGGATAACGCTGCGCCCTTACCCTTGCATCGCTGACAAGTGGGCAGCACGCCACAGCAGCCAAAGATATATATAAAAGGGTAGGTATACCGCACACGCACACGGTACATAGTCTGCTTCAGTCAGACGGTCTCACATGGCCGAGAAGGGGGTGGGGCAGTACGCGGCAACAGAGGACGTGAACACCACGCAGCCCTTCTGTTTTTCGCGGATCATCCGGCCCACAAAGTGATGCGAGATCTGCAATGAACAGCGAGAGGTAGGCACACGAGAAGATCGAACAACAAGCCCAAGGTCGTTGGAACTCCGAGCATTGTGTCGGCAATTTAAACACAAACGATCCGTCGGGTTCCACTCAAAAGAGGTACGCTACACCAGGCACACCATGCTCTGAGCGTGCGAGCTCACAGCAGCGAAACAACGAAAACCTTCCACATCGGTTCAACGGCTCTCGCTGGCAACCAACAACAACAAATTTGGCTCACCCGCAACGAACTACAACAGTTGTCACTTCTCAAATGCTAACCTTGG